TGAGATGGAGTCTTGCTCTGTCGCCAGGCTGGAGTGCAGTGGTACGATCTTGGCTCACTGCAACCTCCGCCTCCCGGACTCAAGCGATCCTCCCACCTCAGCCTCCCAAGCAACCTCCGCCTCCCAGACTCAAGCGATCCTCCCACCTCAGCCTCCCAAGTAGCTGGAACCACAGGCACACACCACCACACCTGGCTAATTTTTTGTTTTTTTGGTAGAGATGGGGTTTCACCCAGGCTGATCTCGAACTCCTGGGTTCAAGCAATCTGCCCACCTCGGCCTCCCAAAGTGCTGGGATGATGGGCCTGAGCCGCCGCGCCCAGCCTGTCTCCGTGCTTTCTTCCGTGTCCAGCACCCTGTGAATTCCAGGCTGTCAGCTCCTGTGGTCAGTGGCCTCCACCTGCCCCACCTCTTCTAGGTAAAGAGGATCCCAAAGATCTGGGAGCGTGGTCTTTCCTGCCCCAGGCCCTGCGGGTTCCCAGCTCCCCTCTGATAATACCGATGCTGATGCAGGAAGTCCCGGTCCAGAGCCTGGTGGCCCAGGGCTGTTGCCTGGCAACCACCTCTGAGAGACAAGTTCAAGGTAAAGGCTCGGGTCTGAGCAACCTCAATGGCTGGAGGAGGACAGGAGTGGGCAAGGTGTGTTATCATCACCCCTTCCTCCCTGCTCCAGCTCACAGCTACAGAGCCTCCCCTCACCCTACAGCCCTGAAGGCTCCCCTCACCCACAGATTCTAGCCCCAACGCCCCATACAAGCTCCTTCAGCACTCCCGTCCCTTATCACTCATTTATTCAGAGCCGCCATGTAGTTCCACAGGAGGTTAGAGGCACAGCGTGAACAGGCCCCCCTGGAGTTGTGACATGCAGTGGCTCCCTTTGTTCATTCATTCCAGATACTCCTAAGAAAGGCCACAGCAGCACTGCCAGGCCCTGGGAGCACAAGGCTATCAGACACACGTGTGTGGGGGACAAGGACACGCACACACAGGCTGCATGTGAGCAGGCACTGGTGAGGACACCCAGTGTCGTGGGGAAGCAAGAGCTGCCAGGGCGAGAGGAGGGACCCTGCCCAGGGAGCCACTCCCACCCAACGCTGGGGCCCCAGCAGTTCCTCCACTCCCACCACTTCCACACCGGCCATGTGTCACAACACAATGCACATTCACTCATGGACGCAGCTAGGATGTCCCAACCACCTGCTATGCACCCTGCACTGGACTCACATACACCTTGACACACAATATCACACCAGCAAAGGCAGCCACACACAGCAAACCCCACACACACCCAGACACACGTGTTGTTGGTTGCTGGTGCCTGGCCCACCTCCCCTACCCATTAGTAGGCTGTCCTGGACCCACCCCTGCCCCACGGACCAGGCCAGACTGTCCATCACAGTGCCCTACCTTCTCTCTGGCTGGCAGTGTGGGCACATGACCTGCACTTGGCCAATCATGGCACCCTATCACTGTGTCTTTGTGATTGGCCCAAGGGACCATCATGTGACCTAGTCGGAGCCAATCCACTTTCTTCCCTGAGATCTGCTATTTGGATGATAGGGAGAAAGGACATCTACTGCTTTTGGATGGAAGTCTATAAGGATGTGGGCTCAGGGCCATCAAGGGTATCTTCCATGTCCCCTGAACGACCTGGACTCTGGGAGGTCACACCTGAAGAGACCAGGGTGTACAGAGCCCACGCACACCTACATGTTCACACCCATCTGGTGGCATATCTGGTGGAGAAATTGGCCCAGGCCACAGCTGTTATCAGATGTCACCATCTTTATTGACAAGAGCTAGAGACAGAAGCAGCAAAGAGTTTCCTGAGCAGCCTCCCAGCACCCTTCCAGGATACTGCGCTCCTGTCCTGGCATCTGGAAGGCAGGGCCATCCAGAGAAGGCCAGAAGGCCAGGGTGTTCGTCCTCCCTCAGACCCTCAGCTCTTCCTTAAGGAACCCCAGACCAAGCCCCAGGGCTGGACCTCCAGCCTCCATTTCCACACAAGATGTGGTTTTGTGAACTTCCTTCCCCTCTGAGGGTCCCACACTCTCCCCACACTCTGCCTCCCTGACCCTTGGCCTTTGACCCCCCAACTGCCCTTTTCTTATGGCCTACAGTGTCCCCACCCAAAGGACAGACACAGAGAGGCCACTTGATGAAGGAGAGGGGGTGTAGGCCTAGCCTGGGGGTGAGGGCACCCCCACTTTATAATCTGATACACCCCACCTACCCATAGCAGGGAGCCTGGAAGTTACCTCACATGACTCATTTTCTCCTCAGATCCCAGGAGGCAGCCAAACTGGGATTCATCTCCATTTGCTGTTGGGGAAATTGAGGCCCGGAAGGCCAAGGCCAGCCAAGGACCCTGAGGTGTGTTGAAGATCCAAGTCTCCAAAAGTCTGGTTCCCGTGCTTTCCCTGAGGATCCCTGCCCTCTGCAGGAGGTGGGGAAGCAGAGGGATTTCCCGGGGGTCACACCCTCCCGGGGCCAGCCTCGCCACAGCTGGGAGGGAGTCTAGGCCCAGCCTTGGGCAGTGGCTGCTCCCCGTGGTCCCACTGCACGGCCCCACTTCAGCCTCTCTTGTCTTCCCTGGGCCTCCCAACCTGTAGTCCCCAGGATTCTAGAGCACAGGGAGGCCTGCTCCCCACCCCCCAGGAGCACCCCAGGCCTCCCAATGTCCCTGGGAGCCAGCTCCACCCTAGGGCTTCTCTTAAAGCCTGAGTCCTTATTAGCAGCACTCTCAGGCCCTTCGGGGACAAGGGCCCTGTGCCTGTCTGTACTCTGTGCCTTTGCCATTCCACCATGGCTGTTCCACCCCAGCCGTTCCACCCTGGCAGTTCCACCATGGCCATTCCACCGTGGCCGTTCCACCCTGGCAGTTCCACCCTGGCCGTTCCACCGTGGCCGTTCCACCATGGCAGTTCCACCCTGGCGGTTCCACCCTGGCAGTTCCAGCCTGGCGGTTCCACCATGGCCATTCCACCGTGGCCGTTCCACCATGGCAGTTCCACCCTGGCGGTTCCACCCTGGCGGTTCCAGCCTGGCCGTTCCACCGTGGCCGTTCCACCATGGCGGTTCCAGCCTGGCTGTTCCACCCTGGCAGTTCCACCCTGGCGGTTCCACCATGGCGGTTCCAGCCTGGCCGTTCCACCCTGGCAGTTCCACCCTGGCCGTTCCACCCTGGCGGTTCCACCCTGGCCGTTCCACCGTGGCGGTTCCAGCCTGGCCGTTCCACCGTGGCCGTTCCACCCTGGCCGTTCCACCATGGCCGTTCCACCATGGCGGTTCCACCCTGGCCGTTCCTCCCTGGCCGTTCCAGCCTGGCCGTTCCACCGTGGCCGTTCCACCCTGGCGGTTCCACCCTGGCCGTTCCACCGTGGCCGTTCCACCCCGGTGGCTCCACCCTGGCGGTTCCAGCCTGGCCATGTCCCTTCCTCAGTACTGGTTGGGGCCATTGTCAGCAACTCAGGTTCACAGATGCTGCCATTGTGCTCAGCCCAGAGGGGCCAAAGATGGCTCCAGGAAACAGATTTGTGCTCCCCCTTCCCCCTCCTCACCCTCCCCCTTTTCCCTTGTGTTCCTCTTCCTCTTCTCCCCTCCTCTTCCTTCTCCCCACAGTGCTCCTCAGACACTCTGCCAGTCCTCATGGGTTGGGTCCCTCCCTCAGTCTCCAGGAAGGAGCCTTCGTTCATCCCTCTGAGGGCCAAGATTCAGGCTGATCCCCCAAGACACTGTATCCCTGTGGGGGGAGGCCAGTCTGCACCCACCTCTTCATCTGGGTGCCACTCAGCAAGGTCAGCCCAGCAGCAGTGCCCTACAGACCTCGCATCTGACATAGCTCATCCAGGCTGACTCCTATCCCTGAGTCAGAGCAGAAAACGAGGCCCAGAGAGTGGAAGAAACCTACCCAAGGTCACACAGAAAGCCCAGGCCCCTCAACATCCCGTCGTGGGCCTCTGGCACCTTGAGAAGTATGCCCCAAGCACACCCACAGCTTCTGCCCCTTCCTCGGGCCACCCTGGCTCTCCCCAGGCCCCTACAGATAGCTGGTGTGCCGTGTGCTGGATTTCTCCCCAGTGGAGGGCTCTTGGGGAAGGAACTGCTGCTCCTTGCTGGCCGCTCTGCTGGGCGGCCGCTCCTGCCCACTAGTGCCAGGCTGTGTGATCTGGCTGACCCGGCCGTTCATCTCCTTCCCCTTCCCCCGCTCCCTGCTCCCCTCCCCATCCTCCTCCTCCTCATCTTCCTCCTCAGTCTTCTCCGGGGGGCCGGCAGTGGGCTCCTGGTTGCGCACGCGGCGGGAGGGTCGCAGCAGGACCCTTCGGAAGCCCTGCTTGAAGCGGTAGGAGAGGAAGCCATAAAGGATGGGATTGGCACAACTGTTGGCATAGGGCAGCGCCACCACCAGGAAGTAGAGCCCGAAGAAGGCGGGCTCCTCAGGCAGCGGGCACACCACGTTGACGATGTTGAGCACGTAGAAGGGCATCCAGCAGAGCACGAAGAGCGCCACCACAGCCACCACCATGCGCGTGACTCTGCGCTCGGAGCGTCGCCGCCGCTGGCACGAGGGCACCCACACCCGGCGCCCGGCGGAGCGCACCTTCACCACGATGAGCAGGTAGCAGAGGCAAATGACCAGCAGTGGCCCGAAGAAGCCCAGCGCGGCCGTGTAGATGATGAAGCCGGCTCGCCAGGCCGCCGCCGGCTCGGGCCACTGCATGTGGCAGGTGCTCATACCACGGGGCACTCCCGAGAAGACCACCACGGGCAATACCACCACGGCCGAGGCCACCCACACGGCCGCGCTAACTGTGCGGGCCACCGGAGCCGTGCGCCAGCGGGCCGAGCGCGTGGGATGCACCACGGCCAGGTAGCGATCCACACTCATGACTGTCAGGCAGAAGATGCTGGTGAACTGGTTGATGCCGTCCACCGCCATGACCAGGCGGCACATGAGGGAGCCGAAGGGCCAGTAGGACAGGGCATTCTGGGCAGCCAGGAAGGGCAGTCCCAGCATGAAGAGCTCGTCGGCCAGTGCCAGGTTGAGGATGTAGACGTTGGTGACCGAGGGGCTGGCCGTGTGTCGCAGGACCACATAGATGACCAGCGAGTTTCCCAGCAGGCCCACCACGCACACCACCAGGTAGACCAGCGGGATGAGAACGCCACTGACAGCCAGCCCTGCCGAGCTTGGACCTGCCGACAGGTTGCCCAGGGTGGCATCCGGGGGCCAGGCTGAGGAGGCATTCTCGGATTCTGAGGTCGTAGACACCGATGATGGATGAAGCGTGTCCATGGCCGAGGGGGTGCTCAGCAGTCAGCTATTTGCCTGGGGGAAGGGAAAACAGCTCGGTCATGGCAGAGGATGGCTTTCTCTCTGCTGCCCCTCCCATCATGCTGCATGCCCATCCTCCCATCGTCTGAGAGATTTCCCCATCTCATTCACCCTGCACAGCCACACAAGGCTGAGTGGGGGTATCCCCTTTCCCCCGATGAGGAAACCGAGGCTCAGGGAGGCTCCATCACGTAGCGAGGGTGTACTGTGCGACATGAAGTCACACCGTTTCGTCAACCAATACCTGCCCTGTCTACAAGTGAGGCCCCAGCTGGCAGGGCCCTGAGAAGAGGGTTGCAATGCCACCAGTAGGTCTCACCCTCGCATCTGAAAAACACTGCTTCAAATCACAGGAGCTTCACCTGGAACCCCGCTCCCTAAATGAACCTGAGGGTCCATGAACGCCCTAAACTCCAGCTGAAGGTCATTGGCAGAGCTGTTATCAGAGTCTTCAGGTTCCAGATGCTGTTAAGAACCACAGGCTCCGGCATCCCCTCCCCTGGGAGTCAGAGCCCTCAGGCACCCCCTCAGCCTGGGCCATCCCACTGTGCCCCTCCCAAAGACCCTGCCCAGGAAGGTTGGCTGCAAACCTGGTTTTGCTGAGGCCCCTTCTCCCCAGAGGCCCGCCTGCGGTTGGAGGACTTTACAATTCTCCTGGTAGGTGCTATCCAAGAGTAGCCCACTGGCTGGTGGGGCCGGCCACCCGGAGAAGGGGCCAGTTTCAGAAGGGACTACACTCCCCGGGCTTTCTTAGTGCCTTTCTCATCCCATGCCTGTGTATAAGAAGTGGGGCTCCTCAGGGATCCCCTGTGAGACTCTGCTCCCCTCCCATGTGGAATCTCCAGCCAGCTTCGGACCCTCCCCACTGCCTCCCAGCGTCACTCACGCACAGGCACAAGCTCTGCCCCAGTGTCAGGCATCAAATGAACCAGAGAAGCCTGGAGTGGACCAATTCCAATGCCGGGGGGATGGCAGGACCCGATGCGGAAAGCCACGCTCAGGAGGAGGCCCAGGCGGAGCCAGGCTGGGAGCAGGAGCCTCCTCTGTGGCCTGGACCACGCACTGCAGCCCTTCTTCCTAATGATCCCCCAATCCCCTGGCTCCTGGTTGTCCTTGGATTCTCCCTGCAGAAAACCCTGAAGGGAAGAGAAATCGCTCCAGGGAGAAGCCCTTCCTCTAATCTCCCTGACACTCGGCCTGCACTTCCTCCCCTCAGTGGGAGCTGCGGTCTGCACTGCGTTATACGGACGTCACTGTTGAGGTGCAAAGCTCCTGGGAAGAGAAGGCACCCCAAATGCAAACAAATGCTTCTGAGCATGCCTGGCTGCCCCTGCCCCAAGGACCTGGGGCTGCAGAGGGCATCTAACCAGAGAAGGTTCATTTGATGAATGGACTTAGAGTACCAGGCTGGGTGAAGCCAAGGGTAGCAAGGAACCCCTAGGCCATGGAGTCTCCAAATGCATCCCAAGCTGGGTGGCTCAGAGCATCTCCTCCCTGTTCCTGGAGCTGGGAGAAGAGGATTCTGAGCCTGGGTCATCCCCCAACGTATCCACAACCCATCCTTCTCCTCACCCCTCATCAGCTCTCCTGAGCCTGGGACAGCAGCACTAAGGGAGGGGCACCTGGACAGTGGGCTAAAGGATCCCAACGGGGCTGCCAGCTGCTTATCACTGAGCCCTGACTGTGTCAGGTGCCAGGCTAAGCCAGTGAACTGCAGCATCCTATAGGGTGTCCTATGAGGGAGGCACTACTGTCACTCCCAATGCACAGATGAGGAGCAAACGTGAGGTCACATGTTCTATTCACAGCTAGGAACGGGCAAATCTGGAAAAGCCTGTGGCAACCACACCCCACTTCTATGCCCATTCCGCAGCCTGGCAAACTGAAGCCAGGCCTGGGAAGGCACCCGCCTGAGTGCCCACCTGGTATCCAGCTTTCCTAGTTGCCCTCAGGGCTTTGAGCTATGAGGATCATGGACTCAAAGCCTCATGGACCTTAGAGGGCTAAAAACAGAATTTTGAATTCTTAGAACAGAGAATCTTAGAGCCATCAGATTTTACACCCAGTGTCCTTGAATCAGAGAATGTTAGAATTTCAGAATGTTAGAATGAGTCCTTCTTAGACCTGGAATTGTGAAGCCTGGGACCTCAGAGTCCTGCCTCCTTGGTTGGGGGACCCGCGTCACCACCCACCTTGCCACCCTGTGCCACGCACAGATCCTCTTTATAGCATCCCTGCTGGTCAGCCAGTCGCAAGCCAGGGCTAGATATGGGAGGGGAGCACCAGGTTCCAGAGAGAAGCAAGGAGCTGGGCAAGCCCAATTTCCAGGCTTCAGGGACAGATGCCCCTGGGGTAGCCCTCGGGGGGTAAGCTCTGAGGCTGCCCCCCCACGCCTGCCCAGCACACGTCTGTGCACCCACAAGAGCATGCGCTGACACAGACATCGTCCTGGCAGGAACACGGCGTGCCTAGCCAGACCCACCGTTATACCAGGGAATGCAATTGCCCCTCCCAGAACCCCTGCCCACCCCTCACCCCTGGAAAACCCTGCCTCCACCCTCATCTCGACCCCTTCCCAGTCAAAGTTTGACTGGCCCAGGCAGCAGAGGCAGGGAAATTACAGTTTTCCACGCGCGTAAGCCAGACCTGCAATTGAGGGGCCGTCTTTTCTTTAAAGAGCTGGAATCCTGTGCCTGATCTAGTTCATCCTTGGGAAGGAGGGACTTTTCCTCCCTGTCTGGTTTATCTTTGGCACAAGCTTGCCTGAAAGCTGGGGGCGGACTCCTCGGAGGACTGTTCAGGAGGAGATGGCACAGAGGGGGTGAGTGGCTGCCGGAGCCCCACAGCCCTTACAGCTCAGGGAGCCCAGGCACCCCGATTATTCTCCACTGGCCCATCTCCTACCCACCAGAACACTGGCTCTTGAATGCAGGGACCCTGAATGATGTTTTTCTTAACTTCAGAACCTAGGACATGACCCAGAACATCCGTAAATGTGAACAGCCAAGCAGCGCAGCAAGGAGAGAGCTCCAAAGTGGGACATTGTCCCCAGGAAGAAGCCTCAGACCCGCATCACTGGATCCTCAAGATCCTCAAGAAGCCCAAGAGGAAGAGATTTTAGAGAGGGAGAAGTTGAGGCTCAGAGAGATTCAGTAAGTTGCCCAGGGTAACCCAGGTGGAGAGTGGGAATTTGAACCACTTCTGTCTACTTCTAACCCATCAGTACCTCCTGGCCACAATGGCTCCTCTGAAGGCCTCAGGCTGAGAAGAATCAAAGGCTGTGACAGTCCTGAATAGTGCAGGGTGATGGCCCCTGGCTCTCTGCTTGTCCTCTACATCCTCGGGCCTTCCCCCGCAAAGAGACGTGGCTTATGCTTGTCAGTGCCAACTGATGCACACGCACCCCAGAGCACACCCCACAGGCCCGGGCTGGAGGCTTGGGCTCCACTGCACAGCGACTGCCACATTGCTACGTGGCCTTGGACAAGTCACTTCTCCCCCCAGGACTTCAGTTTCCTCATATGGAAGACAAGCGGACCCACCTCCAAGGGTCGTTGCAAAGATTACACGGAGGCGTGCCCAGCCCGGGGCCAGGCATGGAAGGGAGCTCGGGAGAGCTGCCACGTGAGCTGGGGAAGCCAGCATGATGCATCTGGCTTCCTCCAGCCCCGACAGCCTGCGATTCTGTGATTCTGAGATCCTAGAATCATGCAAGATTCTAAGACTAATGCCCCCGCCCCTGCGGCCCACCAGGCCTCCCCCCTGCTTCCCTGGGACTCACCACCCTCTGTCTCCCCAACCCCAGCCTCCCAAGTTCATCCTGAGCAGAGAATGGGCTTCCGGGACCCCACCCTTCGGGGCATCACCCGGGCCCCAGCCTCCTTACCTGCCCATGGGGTGAGGGCTTCCCTCCTTGCCGCCAGGCTGGTTATCATTCTGCTGTCCCCTCTCCCTGCCCAGTCCCCAGGTGCCCCAGGGCACTCCTAACTGGGGTCCCCACACGGCACCCACTTCTAGTCTGCCTGTGGGCTCGGGTCCCCTCCCAGGCCCTCCGCCACAGCTGTCCACAGAGCCTCTCCCATCTGGTCTCCGGCCCTGACTTCCCAACCAGTGCCTGGTACGTCACCCCCCATCTCCAGGACACATCCTGGGGGGGCAGGGGCACGGATAGAGGGGAGAAGCTTCCCAGGGTGAAGAAGAGAAGGGGGAACAAGGGACGCAGAAGCCAATAGAAATAGAGGGGAAAGGGGGTCGGGAGGAGGTGGAGAAAGGGAGAGGGGGAGGGAGAGGAGAGGGAGAGAGGAGCCGGTGAGTGGGAGGAAAGGCAGAATGAGGGGGAGTGATGAGAGATGCGTGACAGGAGATGGAGGAAAGGAGAGGAGACACTGGCGAGAGGGAGAGATGCAGGGAGAGGCAGGATGGAGAGGAGGGGGGAGGAAGGAGAGTGAGGGGGCGGCCAGGAGAGTGACAGAGAGGAACTGTGCCACAGATGGTGACATGGAGCCCGAGAAGGAGGGAGCCAGCGGGGAGGGGCCGAGGGCCGGAGAGCAGGTGTGGGGGGTGGGGGCCCAGAGAGGGAGCAGGAGGGGGCAGACCCTGTTACCGGGGAGATTTCAGCCACCCACGCCGCCGGCCTTGGCTCCTGCAGGGAGTTGGAAAAAAGAATGTTTTCAGTGCTCAGGGGAGCTGAGGCTGCCAGCCAGTGGCCAGAGCAGCTCCCCAAGGCCACTGCGGCACAGGTCCCCCGGGGCGACAGCTGTGTCCCCAGGCAAGGCTGGGTGTGGGGCTGGCCAGCTCGGGAGTCCACCGTCGGTCCTGCAGTCGGGGCTCACCAGCGGCCGGCCACCAGGGAGGCCCAATGGGGGTCATTAGTCCTGGGATTGGTTAAATCTGGAGAGCCCCGGGCAGGGAGGAGTGGAAGGACGGGGAGAGAGTCAGTATTTTAGGCTTTAAGGGCAAAATCATTGTGCAGCGAGAAAACAGATTTTCACTGTTTTGTGATTGACAAAACTCAACATAGAATGACAATAATTGAGGCCAGTGTTTTGTAATGCAGGTCCACTAATGAGAAGAATAGAGTTCTTTTTAGGGGCATCAGATTTTGCTTAATTAGAGTTTAGAGTTAGTGTTTTCTATCATCAAATTGATTGCAAATGGTCATCTGTGAAAACCATTCTTAGCTTGTAGGCCGAACAAAAACAGGCGGTGGGTGGGATGTGCCCCGTGGGCCATATTTACTGATCTCTGGTCTAAGAGACCCTGCCCTGCAGCCCGGAGCACAGGCCCAGTTGCCTTGGGATGCCATGCCCCAGCCTGTGCTGATTCCTGCCTCAGCACAGGAGTGGTAAGGAAAGGAACAGTCAGAGATGGGAAGGAAAAGGACACAGATCTTGGCTGAGCACCTACTATGTGCCAGGCACCACTGAAGCTCCTTTCCATACTGGGCCATTCCCTAGGACCAGAGCTGGACCCCCTTTGTCACTAGGTACCTGGGGCTGCAGAGAACTGGAAGTTGAATTGGTCCAGATGTGCCACTGTGCATGCGGCAGCACACAGTAGGGCACACCCGGAGCCGGCCTGGCCTCTGAATGCTGCCCCTCCATTTGCCATGTGCTGGGGGCAAGTCCCTCGCTCCAGGTCTCAGCCTCCCATTGTCCTTGTTCATACAAGTTCATGAGGTGTGGGTGGGCTCCTGGGAACATGTCCTCAGGGTCAAGGGTGGGTTTTCCATGGCACTGACCCCCTCCCCTCCTCACAGCTTCTCACTGCCCTCAGAATAAAGCTCTCCCCCTGCAGCCTACCTGGCATGCCTGCTGATTTCCCTCCCTGCTCTCTGCTCCAGGCGCGCCCCCCTTCTTGTATTCATTCACTTGTTCCTGCAGGTCGGGGTACAGGGGCTGAAGACTGGACAGGGGAGTTGGAGCCCCGGCTCTGCCCCCACCATGCAGTGACCTTGAACATCAGTAGATTGTACGCACCTGACTGCCTGGCCCCGGAGTTCTTGTGAAGATTGGAGGAGTAAATGCTCATCAGGTGCCCCCGGCACCCAGCCTTACTGCTCCTCTCCGGCGCCTGCCTGCCGCTCTCCATCCAGGCCAGGCCACTGAAGGAGTTCAGCACACATCACTCCAGAATCTGCCACTTTGCCATATCGATTTCTTTGGACTAAAGGCACTCCAGAAACAGCAGATGCAGGAAGGGTGCTCTGACCTCTCCTTTTTTTCCAGAAAGCAGGAGATAACAATCCCCCTGGGAAAGACGCCCTCCCTATGCCCGAAGGAAGAAAGGCATTCTTATTACCAGATAAGGAGAGCCGACCCGAAAGAAATCTGTACCCACAAACCTTTTAAATGAACCCTTATCTTCCTAATTACACAATTGCCATTCTTTGTTCAACCTGGTACAAAAGTACTTATCCCTAGTCACTTCTTAGGGTCTTGGTCATTGTGCGTGCGTGCGTGTGTGTGTGTGTGTGTGACTCGTAAATGAAATCTGTATGTTTTCCTCCTGCTGATCTGTCTTATTTCAGTGTAATTCTTTAGCCCAGCCAGAGACCCTAAGACAGTAGAGAAGGCTGTTTCCTTCTCCACCCCATCATCACCTTGCAGTCTCCTGCTTCCACCCTCGCTCCTACTCAACAGAGTCCATTACGAACATAAATCTTGCCAGATGCCTCCTTGAGACCCTCCTATGGGCACCTGTTCCTTGTCAAATAAAATCCACAGTCGCTACCGGGGTCTAAAAGCCCCATGTATCGAGCCTCAGCCTGTCTCTGCTGCTCGGCCCTCCTCTCACTCGAAAGCACCAGGCCCTCTATCTGAACCTCGCGCAGGACGCACCGCTGGGCCCCCCCTTCACCTCCAGCCCGGTTAGGCCCCCCTGCTCTGGCGGCCTTCTCCAGAGCCCTCCCCTTCTCCGACACTCCCTCCTTCCAGCTTCCTTTTTAGCTGTAATGCAGTGTTGGTTTTTTGGGATTTTTTTGTTTTGTTTTGTTTTTTTGAGGCCAGTGTTTCTCGCTCTGTCTGTCGCCATGCAATGGCGCGATCTCAGCTCACTGCAACCCCCGCCTCCTGGGTTCAAGTGATTCTCCTGCCTCAGCCTTCCAAGTAGCTAGGATTACAGGTGCCCACCACCACATCCAGCTAATTTTTGTATTTTTAGTAGAGACGGGGTTTCGCCACGTTGGCCAGGATGGTCTTGATCTCTTGACCTCGTGATCCACCCGCCACAGACTCTCAAAGTGCTGGTATTACAGTTGTGAGCACCACACCTGGCCAATGCAATGATTTTTCATTTGCTTTTATTTTATCAAAGTACCATTTGCAAGTAAATTTAAAAACCAATCAAGACCCCAAGTAGATGCCTGAGATCGTGGATAGCAGTAAACCTGTATATATATGCTATTGGTTTTTTCCCTATATGATGTTTGCATACCTATATTTTTTTAATTTTTTAAATAGAAACGGGGTCTCACTATGTTGGCCAGGCTGGCCTCAAACTCCCTGCCTCAAGCAATCCTCCCACCTCAGCTTCTCAAAGTACTGGGATTACAGGTATGAGCCACCTCACCCAGCCTGTCCTCTCCTCTCCTCCTCTCCTCTCCTCTCCTCTCC